TGAAAAGCTTCTGGTGTTGACAGTGGCTGAGTATGTTCATATGGCCACGGTCTTGCTATTTTTGAATACCAGAACTCTTACTGCAGAGTTCTGCAGAAAGGTGTTTTGCGATTAAGAGAAGAATGTGAAGGAAAACGGAATGTAAACATGAGAATTAAGGCTGTGCTAGATTTTGTCAACTTTGACATTGTCTTCAACTTCCTAAAATACTGCTTGTAAAAGAAACTTGTGTGCTTTGAAGGTGGTTTTGTGACGTGCAGGCCTTGTGTGGGATTTTTGACCTATGATGAAATGAATCCCTAATGCTCAGTGGAGAGAATAAATCCGATGGGCTGTGGTAGGAACCTGCCTGTTAAGGCCTGGGGGGTCTCCTCAGTGACAGCCCTGTAGTGGATCCTATCCCAGACTGTGTCGGGCAGGTGGCTCTTGTCGTTTCTGTCTGTTTCCTAGAAAGAAGCCTCACTGTAAACAGAGAATCCCAGAATGGTTGAGGTTGGAAGGGACCTCTAGAGCTCATCCAGTCCAACCCCCTGCTCCAACAGGGACACCCAGAGCACGGGGCACAGGGCGGCATCCAGGCGCCTTTGGAAGATCTCCAGAGGAGGAGACTCCACAGCCTCCCTGTGCCAGGGCTCTGTCACCTTCAAAACAACCATAAAAAGTTGTTCAAAATCTCCTTACGATTTTTTTTTTAAGCAGAAGTTGGGAAATGCTGTATTTCTGCCATTGTGAGAAGTTTGGAATTTGTGCATGCAGTTAACTTCAGGTTTGAATCTTGTTATGTGACTTTAAATTGTGTGTCTGATGGTTACTTTGGAGTGCAGGATTTTTTATGAGGTTCAAATAAAGTCATCTCTTCTCTGGCCCTCTGTAAGAGCATAGAACCTCTCTGTAAAAGGTATAAAATTTCAGCCTCAAAGATTTTCCTTTAACAAGTAAATACTAAGGGCAATTACAATGAAGGTCTTTAGGAATGACTGTACCTTTGACAGGGAGCTTTTGCATCTTGCTGATCTGGTCTCTGCTACTGCCTTGGTGGCAATACAAGCCACCTGCTTAAAACCTAGGTGCCTGAATAGTCTTGTCTATAAGCACATTAATATGAGATCATCCCTATTATATGACAGGATCTTCTAGCGTTAGGAAATAAGGATGAGGTGTATTTGAGTTGACTTAGAGGAGTTGGTTGCTGTCCGAGTGTTGTGCTCTAACCCACTTTGTATTAGTGAACGTGGCAAAAAACATCTCCAGACTCTTTCATTAATAGGACAGTGTTTATATGCAGAAATAATCTGAATTAGGGGGAGTGAATTTGATTTTACTTTGTTTAAAATAATTAACTACAAGTATGATTCCACCCCAGATTTTTGGAATATGTCTGACCAAGTCAGGAGGCGGCAGTGTATGTTTGGAACACAGCTAAAATAGTTATATTTATGATCAGTTTGAAAGAGGGAGAAGCAGGGCAGAGTTTCTCTGAGTTTGACATACACTTTGTCCCCTACCTCCCCTCTGGTTTTGCTGGTAGTTACTAGGAACAGCATGAAACCAGTAGCTTAGAGGGTGGCTTAACTGGGAGAGAGGAGGGATGAAGTAGCTGTGAGTGTGAAGAAGGGGTTTGGTTTTTAGTTACTGTATTTTTCAATAAATTGGTCTTTTTTTCTTTTTTTTTTTTTTTTGAAGACTCATTTGCTCTCTCAAGCATATTATTTTTGCCCAAAGTGGTTTGGAATACAAAATCTCTGAGAAGTTTTATTCATAGCGACCATGAAACTGCTGCGAGAGCTTCTCTATTTGTTGCCTAACTAAACAGGAGTTAGGTGCCGGCACGAGGTGCTAACGTAAAACCAGCTGGGTTTAGAGGGCTCATTCGACTGGAGGCCAAATGAGCTCCTAGAGGAGCTTGTTGGCAAGCGTGGTTTTTCGCTTAAATAAATCTCCTATACCTGTAAGTAGTCTTGCAGAGCTGGAAGCCTGGTACATGCAAACAGTTTTTCGACAAAAAGTGTTTAGGGATTTTAAATTACAAATAAGCAAGTACTGCTCACTGCAGTATTGTCCTGCTATTGAGGAATGTGATTCCTTGCTGCCTCTTTTAATGTAGAGCTCATTCAGTGCTGCTTTATATTTAGGAAGAATGATGGCTAAGATGATGTTTCTTTTCTACTTACCAGCATTACTCTTAATATTTTAAAGCCAGGTTTGCAACTCAGGACTACATCTGTTGGCCAAATTAATCTATGAATAGATCTAAAATATGTGAACTGGCCCAGGGGGAAACTAGAGCCTAGGACAGCCTGTCTCCCAGGCTGTCCCAACACTAGTTCATCCTTATTATTTTTCATATAACTCTTAGCATTTGTGGCATGGCTTAATGCCAAAACATAAAAGCCAAGTGAGCCTTGTTCATAACTGCTGCGTTGTAGATCTGAGTGGCCTGGTGTGTAAAATCAGTTGAACACAGATAGAGATCCGTGATATTGGAGGGAGCACAAGATAACTGTGCCAGTGCTTACCAGAGGCTTAAACTTCCCTGATAGCATTTGTTCTCTAGCTGCTATTAATAGCAGGGCCTAGAGATATTCCTGGATGTGATAGCTGACAAGTTTCTCCATCCAATAGTCAATGAATGAGCAAGAAGTGTTTCTATTTTAAACCCAGCTTTGACAAGTAATAGAACTTTGACGAGAAGCAGTCCGCAGAAAATAACCTTGATGTGAATTATCACAAGTGACTCTCTTTAAGTGGAAGGATAAATGCAGGACTACAACTTTAAGGATCTCTGATAAGCAAGAGAGAGTTATTTCCCTCCTCTAGCCCTCCTTTTATTTTCTATATATATTTTTCTTTTTGCCATCTGCACTGTAGGTTGTTTTATTAGTTTCAGTCTTCCATGCTTAAGCTAAGGGTGCTAATAAATCTTGGCCGAGGTGCAAACTAAGGAGGAATTTCAAGGAACTCGGTGTGAACAGTCACTGCAGAAGCGTTGGTGAGAACCTTCATTGAAAGAAGAAAAATTCTCCTGGGCTGAGGTTTGTACTGGAAGTGAGAGTTGCCTGAAGCGCTGTTCCCTTCAGTCCTGCAAAGGCTATTGGAGCCAAAGGAAAAATCTTCCTTGCTCTTTATTTTATATGCCTGGTGTAACTTGTGCCTAGATCTATTTTGGCTTTTTTTCCTTCTTTTTCCATCTCACATCGGTTCCTGGGATCGTGTGCAATGAAGCTAAACGTTGCTTTTAACAAACAGGAGGGAGCATGTGAACCATGAGGAAAAGAGGAGGGGATAAGTGTCTCAATACAGTTTTATCACAGCAAAGGTCCATTTGGTCAAGGGGACTCTCGAAGTGGATTCTGTTTGCATGTGTCTTGAACAACTTGTGCTTTAAAATTGTTGCTATGAGACTTAGAGTTTCCTGTTCTTTGTCCCTGTTCTTTGAAATCTAAATTATCGAGCAGCACCACGTGACCTAAAGATAGCAAATATTGTATACCTTTATGTATGAAAGAAGTAATAGTCATCTGAGCCTCTGAAAGCCTTGATTCTCAGTACTCTCCTAAGACAGCAGTGTTTTCCTTTTTGAATTCTGTTCTACATGTGGTCTGGACTTACCCAAACTGATGCCCTGCTGATTTAACTGGATAGCTTTACTAGCTGGCCCATGTAGCATACTATTAAATGCCTTATAGTAGGTATGGATTAGTGGAGAAATTCCAAGGCCCGTAGAAGCTTTGTAAAGGTGCAGCCACGGCAGACACTATTGCAGGAAACTTTCTTCATCTGCTACCAAGGTAACATCTGAAAGATGATTGCTATTTTTGTTGTGTTTAAAGACTCATCTCAGCACCAAAGCTTAAACATGCTGATCAAACAGATTGCTCAATTCAACGTGGGTCTTAACCAAGTGTCCGTGGGACGCCAGGGGTTTTGGTTTAGTTCACCTTTGAAAAAGGCAAACAGAAGTGTAGCATGTGATAGTTTTAGCAGAATGAGAGAAGTGAGTCCTTGCAGACGTGGGTGGTCAACACAGGGTGAAACAGATGAGCTTCTGCCAGGATTTTATGTGGCTTTGCTGTCTCCATATGCAGGGAGACAGATAAGCTTCACTCGTTCCAGCAAGGTCCAGGCTAAGTCGCCGTCTGTGTGTTCATCGTGGGGGTGAGAGGAAAAGGAGCTCCCTGGGCTCAGACACGGAGTTTGCACCAGGACACAGTGATTCAGCACTAGCTGCTTGTGGGCTAGGTTGCTAGTTAGAGCAGTCCCTTCAGGAGAGGCAGGGGCAAGGAACTAAACTTGGTTTTAAAATGGAGCTTGTGACCTTGGGCACATGCCGGTGCACGTAAGTACAGCACCGGATCCCACTGATCCAGCAGGTCCCTTCTACACTGTAAAGGATACAGAGCAGAGTGGTGACATGCTGCCCCTGTATGCAGTGAGCTTGCTTCTCTGTATATACAAGATGGTTGGCAGTGATAATTTTAAGGATTTTGCACTGTAGATTTGAATATGAGTTGTGGTGAAATCAGCAGCTCTTTAAATTTTTGGTGGGTTCTTCTGTCTAGATCTGTCTGATGGTTTTCTTCAGTAAAGCTGCTTTCAGTGTGTGAAGTCGAAGGAGCATGGTGGTAGGGCAGCCTGGTGGTTCTTTTGCTTTGATTCTTCATGGGATGTGATGATCAGTTGTGATATGAATGGACTTTCATGTGCACCTAGAAGTACCACCAAATTGAAGAGCATGGATTTACCAACAGGACCCATTTGTGTTTGTTTCAAGTGATTTATTGCAAACTAACTTTTCATTCTTCCTGAGGGGCATGGGGTTGTTAGCTTGTGCTTGTTCCGACTTAAAAATCACCATGAGATGTGAGAGAGAAGCAATAATTATTATGGGGAGGGGAGGAGCGACACAAACGGTCTTGAAAACGGTTAATGGCAAATTTGAGATGAGGATGTGTGTGTTTTGGGTTATTGCAAGCTTTCTAATGCATCATTAATATCTTGCTTCTTGCAGAGACTCCAACCGTCATGTTAAGGTAAAGCAGAAAAGCTCAGTGCTGAACATGCTAAAGAGGCTGGACAAAATAAGGTTCAGAGGTCACAAGAGAGATGAGTTCCTTGATTTAGCAGAGTCTCCAAATGCTTCAGACACTGAATGTGGAGATGAAATCCCAGTGAAAATACCTCGAACATCACCCCGGGACAATGAAGAGCTAAGAGACCCTGTAAGTACTTGCTTTGCTTTGACTTTTGCTGCATTAGATTATATAATGGGGGGGGAAATAGCAAAAATATTAAGTCTTTGAGAGTCGTTTTGGATTTATCACAGGTTTATGGATTAGTGATAAAGTTAGTAAATAGGCTTCCATTTTGTGGAAAGATCAAAATAATCCCTTAATGTTACAGCTCCCTGTCCCGGCTATTGCTTTTAGATGTTGCAGGTTGATGGGTCAGTTAGCCTGAGTTTGGGCTTCTGATTCCTGTCTACTTTTATTTGTTTCGTTCAGCTACTGACGAGCGAGTCTTAAGCCTCTTAGCTGAATGAGGGGTTTCTGGATGCTTTTTAATTGAGGAAACTCAAAAGTGCTCAAATGCCACAGGCCAGAACTGTAGCAGATAGCAGCATTTGGGGAGCAGGATTTGTTGATATTTTCATTAGAGCCTCAAGGGTCACCCTGCCTTGTTCTTTACTGCACCAGGTACCCAAAAGTGCTCCCGTGTTACAGAGCTGCTCTAAGCCCGTGCAGGGGCTGAGCAAGACTCTGCAGTTACTAAAACTGCAGTTTTAGTAAAACAAGCAGCTCTTAGTGCTTGTTAGCAGAAGCTAAGGAATGTCTGTGGATCCTTAAATGTGGACTGTTGGGTTCAGGCTAGTTACCACAGAGCAATTTAGCTGTGTTTAGAAAGTGGCCTGGAAGCCAGAATTTGCTCTTTAGATTTTCAATTTAGTTTTCCAATCACCCTTTAGAACAACACTGTACTGTTTCTGATCCCAGATATAGTCAAGTAGTTACCTGAAGATGGTGCTTCCAGCAGGACAAGAATGAGCTGCTAGCTTATTTCTTGGTTGTGTCAGTGTAAAAGATTAACTGTGCAACCCTTAGGCATCTTCTCTGGGAATGCTGGCAAGTTATATCCCTTTTTCATAGCTCTAAGTATTTTTTGATCTAGCTTAAATGCACCTTTTTGCCAGATTTTTTTTTTTTATGATCATAACAAGCCAGTGGTAATGAGAGGTGTTTTTTTTCTTTTTGCAAATAGCCTGTTTTTTGAGCATATCTGAAATCTCCTGTTAGCCAAAGCTCTGTTGTTTGCCTTTCCTTTGCTCTTACAATTCCACTGAAATCATCTCTCCCAAGATTTATCGAGATGGATCTCTCGGGTGTCTAGTCTGTGGTTCAGCCCTTGCCTTGCAGTGTTCTCTGAGGTTTGTCCTAGATAAATAGTGGCTTCTGTTCATTAAACTTGTGGCATTATATTAATGTGAGGAGAGTGAGGAATGCAGAATCCCAGAATGGTTGAGGTTGGAAGGGACCTCTAGAGCTCATCCAGTCCAACCCCCTGCTCCAGCAGGGACACCCAGAGCACGGGGTACAGGGCGGCATCCAGGCGCCTTTGGAAGATCTCCAGAGAAGGAGACTCCACAGCCTCCCTGGGCAGCCTGTGCCAGGGCTTGGGCACCCTCATGGCAAAGTTCTTCCTCATGTGCCTGTATATCTATTTAGAACAGCTGGGGTGCCGAGCTGGAGGCTACAGAAAAGTTAAAAAGCCTAGATGCTATTTTGTACAGGAGGGCAGTAGTTATGAGATGGTGTAGCTGAAGGTATTGTGTGGCAAAGCTAAGGTTTTGGGCTCATTATAAAGCTGTATATTCCTGTGCAGTTGTGCTGGTGCTCACTTTCCTCAAGCTGCAGGGTCTGTGCAGCTAGAAAGCAATAGGAAGAGAACCAGTGTTTCTGGCCCATTACATAACGTCAAGTAAGCTGTCCTGATGAACTCTTTGGAATATAATTTAGTTTATATTTCTCTGAAATCTGAGAGAAGGAGAAAAAGAGCAACGACATCAAACTTGTTATTTTGCCCTGCCTGTGATATTGTGGAATTCCAAAGCCAGTAGGATGTTGGAACAGGGCGGAATAGCTGTGGTGTTACAGATACTGGACACCAGTATCTGTATGATATGTATGAGGAAGGAGGCCTGAAGTACAAAGTTTGGGGGATCAGCACTTAGCTCTGCCAGACATCTGTCCCTTTAAGCTCTGCTGTCCATCCATAGAAGGAAGGGAAAAGAAATAAATCCCCTACTTTGCAAGGGTGCCAGGAGTAAGAAAGTAATAGTTGTGTATTTGAGTCAAGAAAGTATTTGTACATGCAGATGCACTTACATCTGTATTTGAGTAAATATTGATAGAGTGGCAGAGTTCCCATGAACAGAGGGGTTCAGAATAATGTGGCCCTTTCCTGTTGAGATCGCATATTTGAGTTGTGCCTGAATTGATTTTAACTTGGTGACTAAAATTCAAATCTAAATTGTTTATATGGAGTGGCTTTCTTTTATGGGATCTCTAAACCGCCTAAATGGTTGCATAGTCAAGGATCAGGTGGAAAATCTAGTATTGTTGGTTTCTTTCCATTTAATCCCTTTAGGGAACTGTTTAAAGCCTGCAAAAATCAATGTATGGTCCAGTGTTGTGCATACATGCAAGTTAGACTGCACGTCTTTCACCAAGAGGTGAAAATGTGTGGCCCAGGTTCCTGACCTGCATCATTAGTCATAGATCTTTTTGCTGCTATCAGCCATTCTCTTGTCTGCATATAAATAAATACGTATTTAATTTCTCAGCTGGTGTATTACCTACCGATTGGCCCCTTAAATCTTGCCCTGTTAAAACTGTGCAGCATAGTCATATGAGTGAAAAGCACCTAGGGAGACACTGGCTGTTCCTCAAGGCACTTAGTGGTCGTTGATGAAAAATCCCGTGCTGCTTGCTGCGGGGTACCTTGGCTCTTGGGTAGATTCAGGATAGATAACCCTTTCTTAGATTTCTAAAGATACTTGTATACAATACCTACCTATATTGCTGCCTGACAGTATTGGTTAACAGATGACATCTTTGCTAAGCATCTCTTTCAATTCCTGAATGACTTCACATATTTAAAAATGTATGACAAATTGGGAAGCAAAGGGAAAACAAAAAAAATAGTCATACATTTTTAAAGTACGGGCATTCAGCCCTGTATGCACTATGGATATTTCTGTATTATTTGGCAAACCAACATAACAGAGTAGTGGGAGAGAGGGGTAGCCACTTCATTCTAGCCTCTGGAAGTGGATGCTGATGTCCGTGGCGTTGTGACATTGGCAATGGGGGTCACGTTGCTTGTCCATGGAGATCAAGTCCCCATTGCTCAGTATTCCTGGTTTCCTTTTCAGCTGGTGCAGTGCAGATTGCCCCCTGTCAAATCACACTTCTCCCATGTGGCTGTGTTTTAAAATACCTTAAAACATTGCTCCTGCAGCTTGGTTTGCAAAGATGCCACGTGTTGGAGGAGGAGGTTTCCCTGAAAACGAGTCCTACTGGCGCTGGCTCGCTTGCCTCCTCATAAATTGTCTTGTCATTTTGTTTTATGAAGTTATTTATGCCTAATTTGCAACATGATTTGTTTTTAGAACAGTGAGAAACTGTTCAGTACTGTGTACAAGCAGCGTGAACCAACTCTGTACAAAGAAGGCTCAAAGTCTCTTTGGGGAAAGGGAGAAAAGAACAAATCTGTGCTTAAACCCGTGCAGATCCTGTATTAAGCAGTCAGTGCGAATTGCAGACTGAAGCCCTCTTGTACCTGGCATGTTGTGCTGAAAGCAGCCTCATCTATTTATGTGCGTTCCCTGCCCACGTGCTAGGATTAAATCTGAGTTAATGTGGTGCTTAAATTAATTGATGTTCCCGCACAGCCTGGCTCTTCCCGAAACCTGTCATTTTAAGCCTTTAACAATACTGTCTCAGTGACCTCATTTACAGTCATTTGCAGGTATAAAGCATTATACTAAGACTGCAGTTAAGATATTAACGTATCTAAACATGACTAGCACTTAATTTTATGTACATTTTTTGAAGGGGATCTAATTTCCTAGGATGTAGATGTCTGAAGAAGATGATCTAAAATGTAGGATACGCTGTGGGCATTCCCTATATGTGCTAGAGGGGAGGGCTCTGGCTGAAGGAGAGTGTTGTTAATTTGCTAAACCACTGGGCTAGGCAAATAGCAACTAAAACAGCCTTGATTATTACTATGATTAGTGCCCCCCTGGTAAAAATAATATTGCTGCATTTGAGAACTGCTGCTCTTCAGTAGGTTAATTACCACACTGAAAATGAGATCTTTACTAGGACCATGCGGTGACAGTGTGTTTGGAGCTCACAGCCCCAAAGAAAATTCCAGGGCTTGCAGGATTCTGTGGAAGGGGGAAGCCTCTCTCCTTGGGAAGCTGATGTGAAAAGCTTCAGCTGTAGGAGGTTTAGAAACCCATTTGCATGCGGATATGTGGGTTTTTTTTGAGCTCCGGAGCTGGATGTGGCTCAAAGCAGCAGCTCTGAACTCTGCTAGTGGTTTACAGCAATCTGCCATCATCAGAAATCCTCCTTTAATCCCCGGCTCTGCCTCTTCACAGGCAACTCTCGTGGCATTTTGCTACCTTCCTAGGCCTTGCCAAGTCCTGCGCCTGTTCTGCACTAAGTAATAGTGACTGCCAACATTTTAAGAGGGCTCCTGAGTCCAATATTGTCAAAGCTGGAAAGGCAGAGGGGAGTGGAAGAGCAGAATTCAGTGGAAGCCTTTAAGGCTTTTCCTGTGAGTCATACAGAAGTCAGAAAGGGCATCTCCATAGTGCGGGTTAGTTAATCTAAAGTGAGTGCCAGCAATATCCTTCAAGAACAGTAGAAGAAAACTCACTCAGTGCTGGAGTTATTGCAAGATAAATTTTCTTAGCATGAAAGTTGAGCCACTCAGGACTTCACTTCAAAGGTGGTACCTTTAATTCAGAGGCAGAAAGCTGACCTCCAGCAAAGCGATTGCCTTATTCCCTATCTTTCTATTTTACTATTAGACAATACTTGCATTATTTTAACCCTAATTATAAATGGAAATTATTCTTAGGAAGCAGCCTAATGCCTAACTGAGTGGATTTTTTTCCCCTAACACAGAAGGTCACTGTAACCTCTTTGAATTAGTGCAGTTTTGGACACGGGCTGTTTTTAGCTGAACACAGCTAATGTGTCTACAGAGGCATTGGGTTTAATGCTCTAGCAGGTACACGCATTTGGAAACTTTCAAAATGAGTCAATATTGGTTTGTCTTCCTTTTTTTGTATCTCTTGGTCTTTTCCACTTCGTAAAATTAGCAGTTCCGGTATCCTGGGCTTTCCTCCACTGCTGGTTTAATGCCAAGGAAGAAGGGAAAGCAGAGTTGATCTGTCTTGATGCACTTCCAAAATACAACCTCTTTTTAAGGGTGAAATACCTTTTTGGGCACCGACTTGAGCAGTAACTGGGGTAAGAGCTGGCTGCTTCCTCTGAGCCTGCAATCCTCTGAATTACACACTATAAACTGACATCAAAACACACAGTATGGGTTTCCTCACAAGTCAGTGAAATAGAGAAAAGTCTGTCTTCGGCTAGACTCATTTCATGTGAAATGTTGCATTGCCCTTTGAATGGGAGAAGAAAAGGGACCGCATACGTTTGCCTTTAAATCAGCAGGAGAAAGGCAAAGCGATGGTGCAGCAGGACTGGGAAGGGCATTTCTTTTTAAACTCTGAGGTCTGCTCAAGTGCATTTGTAAACCTGCAGGGAGCTCCTGTGGATTTCATTAGCTCTTGTTTCTTCATTTTGGTGCTTGAGTGCTGGATAAGAGGCACGGTGAGTTGCTGGTGCTTGCACATTTTTCAAATGGCTCCGGGTTTGCTGCCACAGAGGTAAATCCATGTATAGAAATGGTAAAAAAAGGGAAAAGAAAAAATGCCTCTGAGCTGTCAGTGTGTTCTGGCTTTCTTGTAGGCTGGTCCAGGGACCATCATCATGGCTTCAGGAGTCCAGGACTTTAACAGAACGGAGTCTGACAGACTGAATGAGATCAAAGGGCACCTGGAAATAGCCTTATTGGAGAAACACTTTTTGCGTAAGTATAAAATAGTGCTCTGTGGACTGGAATGGCTTAAGTCTATTGAAATAAGGCTGAGAGTCTGTTCTCTAAACCTGCAAATGTTGGCGCTTGAATTCTGAGGTGTTTGATGAATGCATAAGACACACGGGCTGCCTTTTCTCGAGAAGCAGCATTTCCAAGGTAACTGGGTGATTTATATATGCATATATATATATATATATTTCTGCACTGCACTTCCTCACTACACACTTCACTACATGAGAGAAGCTGCTACTTTGAAATCTTAATGTTGACATCTCTGTGTTATCGTGGAATTAATTGAATTCTTCATGGTGGCTGAGTGGGTGTTTTTGTCTGGTAGTAATTGAAAGAAGTAAGGGACGACTAAAGGGGCAACCAGTTCATTTCCATGGCAGCTGTTCCAAGAAGTAATGCATCTTAAAATACCTTTCTAACAGAATGGAAAATGCAGATAATCAAAGAGTATTGAAAGTTACTTAATTAGTATATGTATGTGTGTGTCCATGTGTATGGAAGTATTGCTCACGGCTAGAGGTATTCATAAGGTTTTTGAGGTTGTATTTTGGCAGGTCTGAGCTACTGACTTGCAAGACAGGATGGGTTTCAATCACACCCAGTGAAAATGGAGGACAAACATTCCTTTAATTCCTTTAAAGAAGGAAATCTCTGTAATAAATAAACTACAGATCTTGCTCAATTACTTCCCTAAATGGTCATTGTAATGGGTTGTTTTTGAATTTGAGATTATGAAGGTTGTTTTTATGGGATCAAAGTGTGTCAAGTGTTTTCTTAGGATAGTGTACTATAGTTCTTGACGAGAATCTGTAATCTAGTACTAATAGTTTAGGACTTGTGTTGTCTTCAGCATATTCTGAAATCCTTGAAATTAATTTTCTGTGACACATCTATCCCTTTGTACTATTTCTTTGATGTTTTTTTTCCCTCTGCGTGAGGAAGGTACTCGGCTAGAATTTATAGTGAATGCATCTTCTGATCCCTGAAAGAAGCGTCATGACTGGTGTACAGAGCAAAAGGAGATGTTCTGTTTGACTTGCCTCATTGCTTTAAGTGATTTACTTGACTTTATTTAGCTCTGTTGTGCAAACTTACCACATACTCCCTATCTCTCCAGGGATGCTATTTTTATTTTTTAAGACTAGTTGAGACTTTTGTGACCTCCTAATGTAATCTCATGTGTAGCAGGAACAGCAGTACTTTCCAGAATTGATTTCCAGCTTGAAATTGATTTCTAACTTGAACAACAACAAAAAAAGTATGCCACAAGTAGTCATTTTAACCACACAGAAAGGACTGGAAGTGAATTCACAAGCAACAAAAATGTCTGAGAACCATATATATAAAAATAAAAACAAAAAAGTTCATTTCCTCCTTTGATTTCATGCTGTAGTTTGAAAACCATCTAATCAATCATTTTGCCACCTTTAGCAAATCTTTTCCTTTTTCATGGGACTTTATTACAAACTGTAAGATTAGTGGTAATGAAAGCTCCTTGTTCCATTTCCACAGATTTGTTTTTTAACATAGCAGCTTTCTAATCAGCCTGATCCTTTAACTTTCTACCTTTTCTATACCTCTTATTTACAGGTGCATTTTATAATATAGCTAGTAGGTTGAAGGAGAAGAGAATTTTCTCCCAACTGCATAGTATGTCTAGTAAACATATGCACTACAATACAACCACATAGTTGGTATCTGACTTAATCAGATGTGTCTGATTTAGTCTTAAACTCCATTCAGTTTTTGGCTCCGTGGTGTTTTCAGTAAAACACATCCACTCTGGGTGAAGAGGAAGTCTAGGGTGAATAGTCACTGGAGACAAAAGCAGATTGCCCAAGATGCCAGGTGAATTTCATCATTCAGGTAACGAGTGGGTCTAAAAATCTGAATTGGAACAACTCTGTTGATATGTGAGGGTTAGTAGCTTTTTTTTTTTTTTTTTTTTTTAAAAAAAAAAAAATGTAGTCTGTGCATAGTTCATTTTTCTTGTTCTCCTGGGTTGTGTGTCACGGGATGCAGCTGAACGTTTAAAGCCAACGTCACTCCAGTCTTCAAAAAGGGCAAGAGGGAGGAGCCGGGCAATTACAGGCCGGTCAGCCTCACCTCTGTCCCTGGAAAGGTGATGGAGCGGTTCATCCT